AGGTTCTTTATTTGTAACCGTAGGTAGATTTAGTTTGCAGATAAAAAGACAAGCGATCCATCCTGACACACTCTAAAAACAAACACAGACAACAGACACATCTCTAATAAAAGTACACCCTGCTCCGTCAAATCTCAAAATATTTAAAAACATTAAAAAAGAAAAACACTAGTACAAACTATGTATTTTGGGTTTTCTATCAGAAGTTTTCGATGAACAGATTGTAATCTCTGCACTATAAACACATCTAAAGTTTAGTTAATATAGTGTGTTTACTACTATAGCAGTGAAGCTCGACATTAGGTTGGATGCATGCCCATGCGAGGAAAAGTTATTACACCTGATTAATAATTGATTTCGTTGAGACATTACATCACGCCTGGGGAAACAACTAGGGGCTGGTTGAAAAGGTTTCACTGTGCTGTTGGAAATTCAATGTTTGCTCCTTAAAGGATAGTTCAACATTACTTTAAGGACTTTTTTCTGCTGGGTTGCCAGGTACTCTGCCAAGAAATAGTCCTGCAAATAACCCCCCGTAAAAAATACAAATTGTTTCCTAACCTAATCTTGAATTTCCTAATTCTGTAAGCAACGGGACAAGATGTTGGTATCGCAAGCGTTTCGGTTTGCTTTCTTTTAAAAGTCCAAGTAAGATTGACCGAAAACGTTCGAGTGGGTTTTGGTTGCATGCTGGTAAACGATCCGTGAGAAAAGCAAAATAGGCTAATTTAAACCATTTCGATTTGTATTAGCTTTGGAGCTTTAGCGATCTCGTGTCTCAAGATGCTAACAGGACTGTCACAAATGAAGAAAGCGCATAGTAAACCAAGTCTAGGCCTGAAATGTTAGCCGTTGCCCCCAGAAGCTAAATCATTATCAGACTTATCCTATAAAAATACACTTTGTCTTTTGTATTACTCAAATTAGATATAATGTGCTCATTGGTGACCTTTAAACATTAGATGGATTTTGTTACATTACATTACATTACATTGCATTTAGCTGACGCTTTTATCCAAAGCGACTTTCAATAAGTGCATTCGACCAGGAAGATACAACCTTGAAGAAAACAGAATCATATAAGTACATTAGGTTTCATAGAGCCAAACATTTCAAGTGCTACTCAACTGGCTTTAGATAAGCCAGCCCTTTATTAGTATATAAGTGCTTTGTTAGTAATTCAATCGCTCAAAGTGGAGTCTAAAGAGATGAGTTTTCAGTCTGCGCCGGAAGATGTGCAAGCTTTCTGCTGTCCTGATTTCAATGGGGAGCTCATTCCACCATTTTGGAGCCAGGATAGCAAACCCACGAATTTTTGCTGTTACCGTTGGACAAAGCCAGGCTAGCGGTTTCCAGTTGTTACGCTAAGCTAAACTAGGCTAACTGGATACTGGCTGTAGCTGAGTACTGATATGTAAATGTAACACTATTTCTTTAAACTTGGTGTTTTTTTTGGACATATTGAATATCAAAGCTTACCACAGTTCAGCTACAACAGGGCTGCTTTTGAAACATTGCTTGTGTTTTATTTTAGGTTTTATTTGTTGATGTTCTCCCGATGCTCTGGAACGCCTGGCATGACTGGAGCAGGGTTTGTACTTTACAGCTCACACATGAAGCTATGGGTACGAAAACACTGCAAAGAGAATCAACTATTCCCGTCAACAACACATTTTCTTTCGAGGCTCAAGGATAATAGTTCACTGGAGTATTGTTGGAAATACAGACGCTGCAAGATTCCTAAAACCTGCGTGGTCCAGTATATCCACTGAGAACAATTTTTCATGGTGCAGAAATACATACTCTCCTCGAGGGAGTTATTACAGAAAACACATACACCAACAGAACACAACAACACATAAAAGACACACAGCGTGCAGCTTTCACCTCTATTATATGAGATGATACAGATAAGCTAAGGCCATACGGGATGGGATTTTCTTCCTAAAATAACAACTAATATCCTGGGGAAAAGCTACATTTTGTGATAAAATCAACACCAGAAATACTTGAAATATTAACACAAAAGGATCTGTGTGCACCTTGCTGCAGAATAGACTGTGCACTATGATGCATTTGCTGTCCTGAGTCTCAGCATGATGAGTGATCTGCTCTCAAATATATTTGACAGTTCTGTTGTGGAGCCTGGGGTCGGCCTTCAAGGCAGGTATTTACTCCTGTAGATGTCTAACCTTTCTAGAGAAAAACTGCAAAAACCTGTGTACAAAACACAACTCAATTTATCACAAGGGTGTTGCAAGCATCACTGCTGATCTCAAGATATTAAATATAGTAGTTTATACTTACATATCCATATTCATATCCACATTAACTTTAAAACTAAGTCGAGTGTGCCTAACATATTGGTGCCTTTTGTGTTTTTATCAGCCACACATTGTCAGTCTGTTGGTTGGTACACCACCTCGGTCCTAACTGAAATATTTTACCCAGCTATTTCGTGGATTTTCAGGGAATGAAAACAAGCATCTTTTTATATAATATATTTTTAAATATCCACATAAGGTAGGCTAGAAGACATGGCTCCTCACACTCATATAAAATACAGCCACAAGCCTACTTAAAGTGAAGCAAAGTGCTAAAAATCGCCACACTCGAGCAGGATCAGCATGATATTACAGAGCACTTACAATCATTAAGCCTCTGGATATGATGGAAATCTTACTGACGTTGCAGGAAAAAAGCACAACTGCTCACTCATACTGCTATCAGATGTGGTACCAAATGTAATGGAATAGAAATGGAAAAATCATTACAGCTGCACATTCACACCATTTGTCACCATTTCAACTTTTTTGCCTTATGTCTGCATAAAGGGAAGCTAGTATATGATTGAACTGGAGACAGAGGATGAAAACAGGTTCCTTGTGTTGGGTTGGAACATATTGTAAAGTACTGTCTGCACTGTGCTGTTAAAATACATCTTTAATTCTGGTGAGATGATGTATTTTACTACTACTACTACTACAGCAATACATCTCGACATTAGGTCTGTTGCATGCAAAGAAAAGTTATTACACCCAATGCATAATTGATTATGCTGAGACATTACATCACAAATACGGATACAACGAAGGGCTGATTCAAAAGGTTTCCCTATGCTGTGGTTCTTGTTATGTTTGGTCCTTAAAGGGGCCATATTATTCTCATTTTTAGGTTCATTTTAGCTTTTGTTCGTCTACTGGGACATGTCTCCATGCTTTAATGTCAAAAAGCTCTTTATTGTTCTCATACTGCCTGTGCTGCAGCACCTCTTTTCACCCTCTGTCTGAAACCAGAGCCCAGTCTGCTCTGATTGGTTAGCTGGCCGGCTCTGTTGTGATTGGTCAACCGCTTAGAGATGACCCGCCCCTTAGCCTATCACGTACAATGTGTTATGGAATACGATACGTGTTACATTAGTAGAGTTTGGGGAAATGTTTCTATAAATTGCAATATATCGCAATACTCTGCAAATGTTTTGTTAAATAGCAATCATATTGTGTGTTCATTGGTTGCCTAAGTCCCACAACTGCTAATTATCGAAATTTAGATGTAACCCTTTTTACCCTCAGACAGAGCCACGCTAGCCGTTTTTCCCTGTTTACATTATTTATGCTAAGCTAGGTATTAAACAAAATGGCTGTATACTGAAAGGACAGATATAAGAGTTCTGGATGTTCTCTTCTGCCTCTAAGCAAGATGCATATTTCCCAAAAATATTCCTTTAAACTATTTGCTTTTTTCTTTATGTTTTAAAGCCTAACTCTGAATGCTTAGGGTTGTGGAGAAATCTGATGGACATTTAAACCAGTTATTTGACCGAACTTTATTCCTTTATGAGTGCTTCTTCTTCTTTGTTTACCAGTACACATTGGATGTAAACACACCCCCCTAACCCCCACACTGTTAATGAAATACAGTAATGCCAAGTATACCCTGTAAATAGAAACGAACACTAGAGTATTGTTTTTTAGGTTCAACTACATTTCACCCTGAGACCGGGAAAATCCATTTAAATCGCTTCCTGTCAAAGATTAATGTGTTCATGAAAGTGTAAAAACAGTGTGATTATTATTCAACCTTTGAGCATTCTGGGGGATTCTATCTGACAGTGGCGACGACGTGTCCTATACACAACCACAGAGCGAGGAGTACTACTGCAGCGTGTTTAGTCTGCGATCTCTACACATTTAGGCAACTCATGAATGATGGATGTGATTTATTTGGCCGAAAATGAGGATATACATCATCATGCCCTGGTCAGAGAGAGAAGCCCGTTTTCATTTGCGCTCTTCTCCGCCTCCTGATGCATCCTCTCTCCTCTCCCCTTACCTTTATCCTCATGTACCCTGAGCCCTCCTCCCCCTCTTATCTCCCCCCTAATTCTCTCTGTTACCTTTCATCTATCTTTCTTTTAATTAAAAAGGTCAATCCGTTTTCTTGGAGTGAAAATCTACTGAAGCATGCTCGTCAAACCAACCGCTTGATGTATAATTAAAGACAGTAACACTAAAATACAATATCACTGTTGATGATTACAACATTTAAAATCAAGAGGCATTTCAAATGGATTTGCAGTCGAAAATGAAGGGAGTCTTAAATCTGGCTGTGAATATCTAATATCATAAATCTTTTGGATAACTCACTTGTTCTCATTGAAAATTAAAAGCCCTTGCCTTTAAAACCAGTCATGCATTCCCATGAATCTTAAAAGGGACTAGAAGAGACAAATATAGACACATATCTAATCAGATCATCAGGTGTTACAGTGAAATATAGCTAAAGTTGGAGTAAAACAATATTATTTAAAGCTCAGGTCATGAAACACCATGTGAATCTGTGAATTCCCCTGCATTGCATACTGGTGTTGCAAAAATAATATTCCACTATTTCACTTCTACTCTGTTTCTTCTTGCAGTATTTGTATTGTTTTTTTAAAATGTGTTTGATGTATGATTTATGTTGCATTGTTGGAGGAGCCTGGTACTTAGGATGTTCATTGCCATAACTGTAGCATATGTGCATATGACAATAAAGCCTTTGAATCTCCTTATGGGACCAATCACTGCTGTATGGTTTTGTCTGCATAGGAGATGATTAATGAAGGGCTGATTCTCTTCACATACCTCCAGTTTCTCTATGCGGTCTTTGAGCTGGGTGATCGCCTGCTCCAGCTCATCCACAGCCCTCACGGTGAGCATGTGGCCGCTCTCAGGTGTTGACCCCGGGCTGTCCCGCACCATGACCCGCTCCAGGTGCGTCTCCTCCGCGGTGGCTCTGCCCCCCCACAGCCCCGCAGCGCTGCCTCGTCTCTCCACGATGCTCTTGCCGTCCAACCCCTTCTCACACTCGGTTAGTTTCCCTGTGAGCTCCTGGATGGTCCTCTGGTCCGTCCGTATCTGGTCCTTCTGCTGCAGCACGGTCTGCCGGAGCTCCTCGGCGGTGGTCCGGAGATACCCCCAGTCTTCCCCGGCGTACAGCGACGGATCATCCGCTTGTTGCTGAAAGTTTTTCGGGTTGCACTCTCCAGCTGGTATCGGTGTGCAGATGAGTCGACTCACCGTGGGGTCATGCCCGGTGAGTCCACTGACCCCGTCCAGCCCTCCGAGACCAACATTGAAAGTGGGTGATTCTGAATCGGGTGTTTCAGAACCATGGAGAGCTCCCAGAGATCCGGGCCGAGCCACGGAGCCCGACGCGCCGCGGCTCTGATGCGCATCCGGATACAGAGAGTGGTTGTCGGCTGGCGGTCTCTGCTGAGCCGCGGCAGCCCTGGAGGATCCGGTGTGGACGGCGGCGATGATGCAGATAACCGCTCCGACGAAGGCCACCATCCCGGCGGCCAAAATAATAACGATGAACTTCAGGTTTGCGGCTGGGTAGATCGGTTATTAGAAAAAAAATCTAATAATGAAAAGACTCAAACAAAAAAAAGCTCCAAAGTGTCAAATTATTAGCATGTCTCTAAATGTAGAAAACAACAAACCTTCTTCACTTTTTTTCCCACAAGAACAGATGATTAGAAAATAAAAGAGATCCGCATCGTAATTGAGTCAACCGAAAACATGAGAAGCAGACAGACTGTGATACACCTCCTCCCCCCATTCAGCGCGCATGTCCTCAGTATTCAGGCAGAAATACAGCCCGTTAATACTGAAGCAGAATGGGGGAGGGGGTGAGGGGTTAGAGTGTAAAAGAGAGAGAGAGATCCATGCAGTGACATAAGCACATTTCTCGATGATATCTTCCTCCTGTAGCCTAGCAATTACTTTTCCAGCAATATTCAATCTGTGATGGGAAAATCCCATCCTATAATAAACTTTGCTTTTAATAACACATCAGATGTTCTATCAACATGTGAAAATCCACATACAGCATCAAAAAAAGGTACATTTGTGTCTTCTTTGCGATGTTTCTATTTCTTCAAGCTGGATTTTCCTCATCATCACAAAGTATTATTTCCCCTCCCTTCGGCGTAATATTTTTTGCTCAACAACACCTCATAGGACTACTGTAATGCGATGTGTGCATGGTCATAAGTCAGCCTCAAGGCCCTCTTTAGCACAGCTCTACTGCAGCAGAGATGACAGAATAATGGCCCTAGAGGGAGTGTGTGATGTGCTGGTGTGAGAGCCCTATAAGCTGGTTTCATTGAACCATGCTCACCAGTAAAAAAAGACATTTTAATCTGGATGTGATATGCACAAACACATGTAATGAAAAATACATTTATGAGCATGCAGAGGGGCAGAGAAACAGAAAAAGAGAGGTGTGGGAAAAGTCTTCCCCGTGTGTATAAAACCAGTGTGTGATGTGCATTCTCACACGAGTATTAAAGGGGATTTGAGCTAAGACTTGCGAGAGATGTGTGAGGAGGGGGAAACGGCGTGAGACATCTTGAGACATCGTGAGACATGTCTGCAGCAGAAAATAGCTCCAGCTCTTCTTCACAGGAACACTAGAATAGCAAAGTGGATTGTTAAGTACTCCTGAAGAGAGCCTGCGAAGAGTAAATGTAAAACAATCACATGAGTAAGAACGATGTCTGAGTGCCGAGCATTTGTGTTCATAAAATGAAGCTCGAGGCATTTTCGGGTGCAAATAGCTTCGCAGAACTGCCTAATGATGCTTGTGGCTTTATATTGTTTTTATCTCTGTATTTCAGGAAGATGAATATATAAACACACACATATGGCTCTCTACATGGATGCCCTTGGGTATTAAAGGGTTGTTTTCCTTTCATCGAAATGTCAAAAGGTCGAAAACTACAGCAGAGTACATTTTTAGTCCACTGAATCTGAGATATGAAGTGGATTAAAAAGACCAGTGTGGGTGAAGCATTCTGGACTCCTCATGTTCGAAACATAACACTGATCTAATATGTCGATAAAAGCCTCTAGCTGAAGCCAGTAAGCTCAATATATCATTGAAGTCACCCTTGACCTATTTGTTGCGTGCTGCAGTGATTTTAGAGCTTTAAAAGTTTTCCTTTGTTGGGGATTTTTCATCTTTTTAATGCACTTTTTGCACAGGATTTGAGCAATAATCTTTACCGGGGGATTTCCGAGCTGCTCAGCAACTCAAAAAGCTGAAAACATTGCTCCTACCAGGAAACATGGTGCCATTATTTGTCTTTGGACTTAACCTCTCATGAGCTTTGGAGGCAAAATGAATTGTGGCAGAGAAACATTTCGTGTTACTGTTGTGTTTTCTTCTTCTGTTGCTTATATTCGGTAGTGTGTGCTGCTCCTTTATCAGCTGTAATTTAATAACCTGTGGGTTGTGCATTGGTGTTCGGATCAGGGGGTAAAAGTTTCAAACCCCACTGCAGTCAGCATGTCGTTGTGTCCCTGAGACACTTCACCCCAAATTGCTCCTGTGGGGATTGTCCACAGTATTGAGTATGTAAGTCCCTTTGGATAAAAGCTTCTAACAAGTGACATGTCATGTAATGTACATTTAAGAGCTACAATAATCTGCAGTGGTGGAAAAAGTACATTTTGGTAACATGTGCTCACTTGAGTATTACCCTG